AGAGGCTGTGACTCATTGCATAACTCTTGCTGAAGGAAACTCTAGGACAACATTTCAGAAGAGGATGGAGTAAAGCTGGAAGGATGTGCTACTACAGAACTCAGAAAACAGCAGTATTCTCATGGTGGAAAACAAGCAGTAGTCTTAGGTAAACAAATTAAGCACTCTGTTCTTGGAGAGCTTTGTGATTTTTGGTATCTCCTGCTTCATCGCCCACAGTAAGCTATAGCTAAACTTTGAAGGTTCTCAGGTCATCAAGACTGCAGCTCCTCTGGACAGTCTGACCAGAGGATCTATACCTTCTCAGTTCTCAGTTTCAGGCAAATGCTGACAAAGTCAGCTGGGATAGGCTTCTCCTCATGCAAAGGGAATTAAACTTGTGATAGAAGTGGCTGCAAAAAAACCTGCAACCCACAGAGCCTTAAGTTTTGAAAAGGTTTAGGGATATATTTCCATCCCACCCTTTCAATGCGCAAGAAACTCCATGAACAGGGGAGATCTTTGTTATCCTAAATAAAAAGGAATAGGTGAATACTGAGTATTTCTAAAGAGCAATTCATGACAATAGCTTTAAATTCCACATCTTTCTTAAATACATGTTAGAGTTTTGGCCTATCACTAAAAAAACACACAGAGTCATTGGTGTTTATTCTCTTCTGCAGTTGCACTTCCCTGGAGCAGTAATTGCATCAGTCCTGTAAAACAAGAAGTTTCCAAGCATTTCAGGCTGGTCAGATGTATCTAAAACAAGAGTGTCAGGAAACACCCCCAGCCAAGTGAAAATGCAGACCACATCCTGCTGCTCTCTTTTCTGCTGCCCCTCCTTCCCACTGGCATCCTTAGATAGAGGGTGTTTTTGTTGATGCAGTACATTAAAAAAAAAAAATCACATCAAGCAACAATCTAAGACTGCTTTAACACCCACAGCACCATGTGTCCTGGTAGAGTCTGTACTTGCTAACGGCTATATACTCGGATGGGCTTTTAGCAGAAACTCCTTTTGACGTCTCCTAGTGGGTGGTCAGTGGAAAGTTTTACCAGCTTTTCTCGAGTTTAGTTACATTTTTACTTGGATTACGTATTATAAGTATTTGGATTTGGATTTCTTACTGGAACTACTCACAGAAGACCACGCAACTGATGGTAATTTGAAGTAGTACCTACACCCCAGTCTAAGGATGCTAGAAGGTTCCTATGCTGCTGGAAGTGTCATGTTCTCTGGGACTGTCACTATGACCTTCACATAGCCATTGGAATGGTACCAGTGCAAATCTCTGCCAGTGTAGGAAGCCAAACATCATTTTCCAGACTGAGATGTATTTAGGAGAGCTAAATTCTTAATACTGTGTCCAGGCATTTGTGTCCTTTTGCCAAGACTCCTATAGTAAACTACAGGTACCTGAATGGGAATATAAACACACTGCATCTATTTCACATTCAAGTAATTAACAGCTTTACAGTACTCCCAGGTCAAAAATGCACATAGATAAACTGAAGTTTATGAAATATTTGTTGAAGATAAATAGCTGGTTAGCACAGAGAGGGAGGATTAGCAACCAGATCCCCCAGCGCCACTCATCATCCCCAGATCTCTCTCTGGTTCCATTTCTCCTGCCAGAATTAGTTCTAGAATTTCTGCATGCTTAGGAAAATCAACAAAGGTTTGCTAATCACACTGCAACATTCCCTCACCAGAAAAGTTTAAAATTGTGCATACCCTTAGCATTTTGCTGCTTTGGAATGACTAGGACTTGTTTTTCTCTGCAGAGTAAACATAGTGCTTTTAATCCTGTAAACTTTTAGGCAGTAATGGTGGCATAAAATAATAATTGCATTTAATGGTTGCATTTGTAGTTGATAAATGACCCCCATCCGCATGCAGTAAGTAAAGCATTTGAGCTTCTTCTAGAGCAAATAAGTATAAGTGCTGTATAAGTGGAAGGGAAATCAAGACCTGAGGTGTATTTGGCCAGTTTACTTTTCCATAAGCATTCTTTGTACATCCATCTGTTTTTTAAAAGAACATAAACCAGTAACTTGTAGAAAACTCAGCTGAATGCACCATCAGGATGAGCTCGTGGTCCTTGTTCTTTATTTTTCAATAGGGCTGAGAGAGGCAAAAAGAGGTCAAATGACTTCCTCAAGGTCAGAGACTGCCTGTGAGTCATAAAGAAAGGACTGTTTGCATTACAACCCTGCATTCATTCTGCAAAGCTCTATGCTGCTGGTAGGTTTTTGTCTTTGCCTACTCTAGCAATTTCTGGGAGCCTTGGCCATGCTGCTGCTCTTGCCTCTGGTGACATTCATCAGAATGACTTGTGGTAAAATGATGGGGTATTGGCAGGCCCATGCAAGAACGCAGCAGCAGTTTTGAAGGGCAGTCCCTTTAAGGCAAAACTCTTGGAGTTTAAAATGAAGCCCAGCAAACAGCTTAGTGAAAGAAACATGAGTAGCTCTGCCAATGGCAAGTTATGAAAATCCTTGTCTGATTTTAAATAGTAATTTTTTTAAAATCACAAGAACTTAAGACCCAGCAGATCTGGGATCCTTTGAAATGGGTTAAATAGTTTAGGCTGTGGGTGTGCCATGCAGCTCTACAACAGCAGACCTTGGAAAACACACCAAATATTGGGGGGTTTTTAATACATATGTGAGCTGGCCACCCCATCTTACAGTAGAATTGCCTGTTGAAGGTGCTCTACAAAACAAGTGGACCTAAACAAGAATCTATGTGCATACCTCTGCCTAAATTTACCTTCAGCAGACAATGACAGGCACTGAAAACCGTTTAGTATTTGTTCACACATGCCTACTCATGTAATTGGTCAGATTTAAAAAAAAAAGAACAAACTAACAACCCCAGCCTTTACCTATGAGATCACACAAAATCCCCTCTGGGCTTATTTCTCTCCACCTCTGTGTATATTTACCTGTAGTTCATGCTCTCCTCTGACTCTCATGCTGCATCTAAACAAGTCAATGTGTGTGTGCATCTGTAGCTGTGATACAAAGCATTTCTGACAGGTGGATGTGTGGTGCCCATATGAAAAATGACAGTGCAAAAGCAAGGTGGGCTTCTCAAATGCCACACTTAGAGAGTAAGCGGAGGTGCTAAAAGAACTTGATAATAAGGACACTCAGATGACAGCTGGTAATGCTACCGGCTATACTTCAGAGCTAAGTGAAAAGCTGCTTTCTCCAGAGTTAACATGTACTGATGTTATGCTTTCTGCACTATACAGATTTATTTATTTTAGAAACAGCTCTAGGCAGCCAGCAGTGCTCAGAAGCAAAACTCCCTGCATCTCCTCTGTTCCCCATGTCAAGTAACACTGATTTCAGCCTCAACAGTACATGCTGGTGCCTCTGCTAGAGCCCACAGTGTAAAGAAACTGGTGTCTTATGCTGCATCACACTTAGAAAATGAAGTCTCACTGCTGCACTTCTTGAAGCTGCTATTAGAAATATATACTACTTATTGTTACATTTCTGGGGAAACTCCCTCTCTTGTCTTCCTTTCTCTTTCAACATGAATTCACGGATTCTCCTGCTAGAATGGGAGCTCTGTGACTGGGCTAGGAGTAAAAACACTGCAATTCCAATTTAACTGCACACTCCTCTCTCCAGCATGCAGGGCATTTCTTTAAAATTGCTTGCAGATAGCTCAGCAGACACACAGAAGCAAGGCATTTCTGAGACAAATGCTGTTCTCTGCTCTGTGCATGCCATCTACTGAAAACATGTGACAACCGCCTGTGCAAAATGACAGCTTGACCTGCTGTGAGGTTATCCCAGGAAAAGCACTACTTGTAAGTCCAGGGTTAATTATACTCACCTCCTCCTGTGTTCATACTGGTTAAATTTAGGAAAAAATCTGTTCATATCTAGGATAAAGATGGAGAATGTTTCTCACACCAATTGCTACTGCTGACAAGATCAAATACAACTAACAGTGACAAAAATTCCTTGCACAAACATGAAACTGTAAAGAAGTGAGCTGGACAATGACAATGACACAGGTCAACTCTGTCAGCAGGAGTTAAGACATTTCTAGCAAGTAGAATTTGTGTACTGGCAGAAAGTGCCTCAGAAGCAAATTCCATTTCTCTCTCCCACTTCATTTACTGTCTACCTACCACATCTCATTTGTATCTAACAGAGATAGTGCCTGTGAGCCCTTTTTCAAGCCCAGGAAATCACCAAGCTATATTGTTCAGAGTATTATGGGCTCATTGTGTAACCCTGCCAATCTAAATGATCCTCACCAAATACAATCAATGGATTTTAATAAACCTGTGAACAGAAATTTGTAGAGAGACAAAATTACATCTGTGCAATTCTGGTATCACTCTCAAATCTCACTTGCCTCTCCACCTACGAGATTTCAATAGGCTTTTGAAGGAAGAGTATTTGGAAACATGATGAAAAGGAGCTAAACTGTGCTCCCTATTACATCCCAAAAGGCATGTTGAATGTAAGAGATTGGCATGCATTATGACAAGAGGATGCTGGCTTCATGTTTCAAACCATTCACTTTATACTGCATCTTTTCTAGCACTAGAGAACAGGAAACAAAGCTAACCAACTCTGTCTAGAAAGCCAAAAGCTAATGTCCTGATTTGCGCCATTTTTTATCCCCAAGGATATAAAGGATGATGACTGACCCTTCATCCTTCGGGAAAACAGCACGGCTTTTTTAATGCTGTTATTTTTTGTATCTTGTCCAGGTTATGAATGCTCTCTTTGCTGTATGTACCTAGGCACAAGTTTTTGTTGTAGAGATGCTTTCAGGTTTGGAAAGAAAAAAATCGTGTTCTGCTGGGGACCAAAAATAACATTTGATCCTGCATTTGTTTGGATAACGCTTCTTGAAGTCAACAGGAGTTCTGTTTCTGTAACGACTTCAGAATCAGACTACAAAGTAGTTAAACCCCCCACCACTCCTCTCCACCTTCCTGCAGCACTTCTAAACAGATGGCAAGGAGCAAAGGCAGGCATGATCAAATGTCTACTGACCACAGTGATGATTGGAAGCTAGCAAAAAGCCAAGACTGTATTGGCTTTCAACTTTCAATGCTAAGAGGCCAAAAAATTCTTTTTATATCTGATAGAACTATTTGGAGATATTGCAGTTGCGCCCAAACCCTTCCCCTTCCTTACATCAAATGTGGTAGGAATCCGTCTTTCTGTAATACCGTTAATTACAGGCTCCAGAGCTGGAGCTGTGGCGAAGGGACTGAAGGACATCTCGGGCTGAGGGTACAGCGCAGCAGGTAATCTTGGCCATTTCACGAACCACGATTTCTGTCAGCCGGAGCGCGCCACGCACGCACCGCCGCCCTGCCACCTGTCTCCCGGGGGAGGAGGGCATGGATTCATCGGGGGCGGATGGAGCCGCCGGGAAGGACTGGGGGTCGCTGGCGAGCCCGAGCGCCAGGAGCAGCCGTGCGCCCCATCCCCAGCGCTGCCCGGAGCAACACGGCTGTGCCCAGCGGGAGCGCGACCGCGAAAATGGAAGCCAGCGGAAGGGAAGGAGATGCGGCGAGCGGAGCGGGGCGGCAGCGCTGCTGTGCGGAGGGGGAGGGAGGTGTGCGCGGCGCAGGTGGGGACCCGCCGCCCCCCGCCCGCGGCCCCGCTGACCTGCCAGGCTGTTGTAGCAGTCGACCTCGATGGCCTCCACCGCCTGCCGCTGCTCCTCGCTCAGCCCCGCCGCGGCCGCGGCGGCGGGAGGGCGCTGCCCGGCCGGCTCCTGGCTCAGCAGCAGCAGCAGCGCCTTCAGCTCCAGCAGGGCGCGGTGGTACTTGCCGATGGCCTCCCGGAATTTCTTGTCCTTGTAGCACTGCGCCCCTTCGCTCTTGAAATCCAGCGCCCGTCCGATGAGCTCGCCCGGCTCGGCGCTGCCCGCCGCCGACGCCCGCGGCTGGGCAGCGCCGGCGGGGCCGTGCCCATCGCCCGTCCCGCGGCCGCCGGCGTTCAGCTTGCCCGCCGCCGGGCTCGCCCTCTCCATGGCCGCGGCGCCGCCCGGCTCCCGCGCCGCCCTACGCGGGCGATGCCGCGGCGCCCGCTGCCGCGCTCCCGGCCTTGCCCCCGCGCCGCTCCGCGGCTCCGCCGCTCGCTCCCATCCTCCGGCGGCCGCCGCTCCTCCTCCCTCGCCCCGCCGCCCGCGGGGCGCCCGCCTCCGCCCGCCCCCGCCGCCCGCCGCGGGCACCGCCGCCCCCCGTTCCGCTGCGACCCCCGCCCAGCGCAGCGCGGGGCGGCGGGGGCGAGCCCCGGACGCGGGGATGCGCCGGCTCCGCTCCCCGCTCACCGCGCCGGCACGGCAAGGGGCGAGCGTACGCCGGGACCCTCAGGTCCCCGGGCTGGTGATCCCACATACCCCCCGCCCGCCGTCCTGCTCTCCCTGAGACTGAGCTCACTCCAGCCCCCACAGCCGGGTCACTTCTGCTCCCCTGTGCCTTGCCCTCTCGTACCTGAAGGTATCGCCTCCCTGTCGGCAGGCTGGGATTCCATCTCCTCCATTCCCCTCCTTATCCAAGTTTCCTGGCTCCATCTCCTCTCCCAGATCCCACCAGGGGCCGTCCACCATCAACACCTGTTCGTGGTGTGTATACTCCGTATCACTGGGCAAAGAAGAGTCAGACCATGAAATCTCCTGTGTGCTCTGCGTAAGGGTAGCAAAAGCCAAGGGCCAGTACTGCCCTGGCACAGGTAACTCAGGGAATTTGATTTTCCTGAATCAGATTTTCCTGTGTGCTGCTGTAAAATGGGTCGATGCTCACTGATGCCTAGAACATGTCCTGGTTTGGGGGTATCAGTGGGGAGTGACTCTCTTGCTGCAGACCAACAACAGAAAAACTGTGTGGAGCATGAGGCATTGTTTTGTTAGGCCTAACACCATGTCTGCATTGAATATTAAAATAGTTGGATGTATTTCAGGTGCATTGTTGTGCCAAGATATTTTGTAGGTCTTACACATGCTTAAAAACTAGAGGATGGATGAAAAAAAAACACATTTTTTTTTTCTCAATAATATATTGGGATGCATCTTTTCATTACCCATGCAACTCTTACATGGTGAGGCTGCAGCTGTGGTGCAATGTGTTCAAGCTTCTCTCTGCAACCATGAGAACATTTTAAAATGGAGACTTGAGATTCTTTTTGGGGTATGTACAGCCCCTACTGTGCTGGCATGTGGTGTTGCAGTGCTGGGCAAACTAGAATAGCTGTGTGGCATAGCTCCATGTAAAGGTACTAATGCAGATCTGGGACTGGTGCCTGGATAATTCCATGTTAGCAGGGCCAATGAGTTGTGTTTTATGCATTGGTAATGTTAGTCCCTGCTGCTGAGTTTCTGGACCTTGTTGAGGTTGTGGTCACAGTGTGGGACAGACACACATCTACTCACTTGAATCCAAAAGACAGGCCCACAGGAGAAGCAAATAGCATAACACTGATTGTGATAGAAGTATAATTTTGAAAATGCTTTCACAAGAGAAATTATAGCAAACATATTACCAGTGATTACATGATTTCAAGTGCTTTCATTTCCAGGTGCCCTACTAGCTACATCTTCAAGAAATCTTACTTTATGAAAATGGGTTCTCAGCATTTTCAGGTAGCTCAAGCCAAGAGTGAGATAAATTACTTACAAATCTTGCTTGAACTACTTGCTCAAAATGTGATCTAAAATCAGGAAATCCTGGGGGGCGGGTGTGGTGGTGGTGGATATTAGTCACAGTAGCTAGAGTGGAATTGATGTGGGGAACCTAAATATTAAGGAAGGAAAATTCCTGTTAGGACATTGTTTTAATCTGTCTGCTAGTCATATTACACAAAGTAAGTTTAAGTCATTTCAGAGGTTTCATTGTATCATTATTGATTGCTGCTTGGGAGAATTCACAAGGACAACATATATCTTGTGCTGGAACACTGACTTTGCCAGAGGAAAGGAGATTGCCACAGAGCATTAATTGCAGAGAGCTGAGCAGCTGCACCAGCTATCGAAGAAGGAACTGTTTTCTTGGAGGGTGATGTAGTGAAGTGACATTGGGAGAAGTTGCTTTCCTTTTTCAGCATTTGCTGAGCCCATGGAGTTGCATGGCATAGGGGGCACTGAGACATAAGTGACTTTTTCTCCTCTCCCGCCCCCTCTGCTTAAGGGATCTTGGAAATTTCTTCCTTTGGTTACTGATCAACAGTAGTAGTCTAAAACAAGCTATGAAAAGTGTAAGTTTTCTTACAGAAGAGTTTGGCAGTGGCCGCTGGCATTATGGGTGCAGATCTGGTCAGAAATGGTCACAAAATAGCGATAAAACTGGGTGGTCCTTGCATTGTGAACTATACTGAGTATACCAAACCATGGCTTAGTTCCAAATTCTGCCTAAGCACCCAAATGAGTTTTCTACCTTGTAGTTTTCTTCCAGAAATGTCCAGATTCTCTTCCTGACATTGCTGGTGCCTATGAGGATGAATGCCACAACCTTGTAAATCCCAAAACAGACCATAACAGAAATCTCTGAATGATTGCCATTCATTAGCCAGTTTAGACCCTTTGTTGATAGCAAAGAGTATCCCTCAGCTGAGAGCTAGATCTCTCAGACAGAGAATTCAAACCTGCCGTAAGATGTGCAGCATGACTGGCAAAGGTCAGTTTGGTTCACCAGATCCCTCTTCCCGGAGGGAAGTAGTGTTTGTTGTATTAAAATATTTAGGAAACATCACACCAGACACAGGGTCACCACACTGACCACAGCATAAGGGGACTGCTTTTATTTGCTTGTTTGCTTTTCAAGAGGAATGTGGTGCTTGGAGGAAAACATGAGAAGCTTTCACCTTTCCAAGTCAGACAAGATTTGTGCTTGAGAGATACCTCACATTTCCTTTAATATATGACATGATGGGCAGGTCTAGATTTTAGCTGTCTCAGGCCCACTAGACTGCCCATACAGGCTTGCCAGTGGTCAACACCTTTAATGAAAGCTTGAAAACATGACAGGAATCTGAAAGCATCAGAAAGAGTAAGTTTATATATTATATTGATGCACTGAACTGTGAAATAAAGTATACATACATTCAGATAAAATTAAGCCAATTTTCAGTCATTACCTGTATGCCATGAGATGGGGTCCTCAGGATTAGCTATTGTGCCTGTCTTTAGTCCAATGGTGAGGGATTTTCTGGCCATAGAAGCAGAACATGCTTATCTATCCCATTGTGTAATAGATGGGGTGTACATGTCTATCTGGATGCCTCCAGGTGCTGTATCTAAAACTGCCTGAGTGTGCCTGTCTCACTTCCTCCACACTGAGCTTTCCTTAGCACGTTCCAAAAGCATACACTCGCATTGCTTAATTATTATTAATAGTAGTATTATGCAGAGGTCACATGCTTTATAGGATATTTTAGGATCTGTGACTCACTAAACCATAATTTCCTGTTCACAGGTTACCTGAAGAAAATTGTCTTTTTGGAATTCTATTCTTGGCTGGAAGATGTGGGGGAAATGGTAAATATTGTGAAAAGTACTGGATCTTACATATCTGTGAGCTGTCCCAGCCTTCCTCCAGGTGCAATTTTTTCTACCTGCACATAAGATGATTAATTTACAGGCATATAGAACAGATTATCTGAATTTCAGGATACTGCTGTAAGGAAACTGGAAAGGCTCCTCAGACAGCTGAGGAAGCTGGACACTTGGGCTCTGGTGGGGCATTGAAGGGCTGGAGAATCTTTCCTATGAAGACAGGCTGAGGGAGTTGGGGTTGTTCAGCCTGGAGAAAAGAAAGTTTGGAGGGGGGACCTTATTGTAGCCTTTCAGCACCTAAATGGGGTTACAAAAGAATTGGAGAGGGACTTTTGACAAGGGCAGGTACTGTTATGATATGGGGGGATGGCTTCAAACTGAAAGAGGGTAGATTTATTGGACATAAAGGAGACATTTGTCTTTGATGAAGGAGGTGAAGCAGAGAAGCTTCTAGAGGTTGCCCAGAGAAGCTTCTAGAGAACATATCCCTAGGAGCGTTCAAGGCCAAGCTGGATGGGGCTTTGAGCAATTTGTGCTAGTGGAAGTTGTCCATGCACATGGCAGGTAGGTTGGAACATGATGATCTTTAAGGTTCCTTCCAACCCAAACCATTCTGTGATTCTTCTAGATGGATGTGAATCCACTATAGCATTTATACTGTTAGGTGAGCTTTTTATAAACTGGAACTCTAAAGACTGTTATGAGGAAGAAAGTTTATATATATTGAAAACCAGGTATCAATTTGGAAAG